GCAATTAAAAGAGCTTTTGTTGAAGGCTACCGAGTTGGCAGGTTACGACCGCCTGAGCATTCAGCTAATTGGTGATTTCATTTGGCTACTCGTTTCAGTAGAATGTTTAATCTTGATTCTGTTTGTCCATAATCTATTTATTGGCTGGTTTGTTCGAAAGTAACTCAGTCGGTCTATCTAAGGGAGCCTCAATAAAAAACTTTGCCAAGGCAGCAGCAGCCTTGATAATTGTTTTTCTTGAGACCAAGTTAAGGCCACCCAATTTCGTTTTGAGCAAACCAGCACACTGCACAGGAGGAATGACCCAGATTTAGCATGTAGTTATAGGTTTCACATGAGCAGATTCCATTTGTAGTTGAAAAAGAGGCGTCACTTAATTAGAAAGAGAAGTGAAACAAAAACATTATTAGGTATGTCGGTTAAGAAAGCTGTGCATACTTACGCTCAGCTTTCAGTATTTTGGGCGTTTGTTCTGCCTATATTAGAGTATGCGTCCGGTGTCTGGGACCTGTTTACTAAAACCAACACAAATTTACTTAAATCCATGCGAAGAAAAGGCTTGCGTTTAATATACAACAAATTTCACAGACGATACCCGGTTTCAGAACTATATTTCTGTTCCATCATTAGGCAATTAACCCATAGACGCATGTTTCGAAGATTAAAATTTTTACTTGACCTGCTAAGCAACCGATTTAGTACTGACACCTCTACATATGTTTGACATGCACTTCATAAATACCCCACGCGAAATTGTCATTGTAGATTATTACAAGATTACAGCTGTAGGGTCGATGTATTTAAGTTCTCATTTTTCCCTAGGACCATTCATGATTAGAATGCCCCAGCAAGTCATATAATAAATGCCTCATCTGAGTCATCACTCATTGCTAACCTCCGCAGTTTCTGTAACTCCTGCGATTTACGGTATTTCTTGTAGGTTTTTGTTGTTGTTTGTTTTGCTTTCATTTTTATTCAATATGCATAATAATGACATTGATTGCCTTATTCACGTGTGCGAAAATGACTAGAAATGTATGCCTTTATAGAGACCTTATGTACCCCTCCTACCACGTCTCCCGAACGAGATAGCAGTATTAATATATAATAAATAAAAAATAGAAATGCTTACGGATTGAAGCTTTTACTGACTGAGAAAAAGAAGGTTTTCCTGCTCAAAAATCACTGGGCTTTCATTCAAACCTCGACTCTACTATAAAGCGTATGAAACCAATAGTGTTTCGTGTGCTGAGTGATGACAAGGACGTTTTTTTGTCCACCATTTTGCCTGACCAACGCGTCCCCTTTACGTCCGGCGGCGAAGAAAAGCTAACCGAAAAACAGTTCACCGGAGAAATGCTCACAGGAGATTTTCTAGTGGGCCCAGGGGTTCGCGTAATCGGCTGTAAAGGGTCGGTCCAGAATCAATTACCACGACGCAGTCCAATAGCTCAGTTCCAACGCTGCAATGAAACACGCGCGTGCCCGCTCCCACTGGGCACAGGTATTCACGTAGCGCTTGCTAAAACTATTGCAGTTCAGACATATCATCTTGCACGTCAGCTGCCTCCTGCCTGTCCGAGGCAGCTGAAAGCATCGCCGCGATTTGTTTACATGTGCGAAGCTTTGCTAAGAAGCCATGCTGGCCGTCTCCTTTAGCAACAATGGTAGTTGTGTTGAGTTCGTTGCGGTTGACCAAAGCATTTATTCAGGCCTCAGTAAAGCTGGGTATTATTTCCACGTAAATCACGGTAGAGCCGACTTTTACTACAAGGACGCGCTCCCCAAGCACACGTTGCCGGAAAGGTTGCCTACGTTTGTTGTGATCCAAAATCCACGTGCTCTGAACCATGCCGAGTTCTCCGATTGGTTTTTCGTCATCTTGTAAACCCTGAGATGGGGAACGATAAAAAAAAACGGACGAACACAACAAAATCTCGAACGCAGCTGAATTTTATTGATATGATCAACCAATCAATAGACTTTCAGACAAATGAAAAAGAGAAAGGGCAAAAAAGGATTGAAACATATAAACAAGATGACCAACGAGTTTGCCCCAGACAGCCTGAGCCACTCCCTGACTCCAACACTTTCGGAAAGGGAGCTGACCAACCGAACAACAACAACACCAAGGGCAACACAGAAGGCGACCTCCGAAAACGCTAAAGCCTAATCTCCATTTCCTACATCCAAGCAAACGCTTCCCGATTTTCTTCCTCCCCCCCTCTCACACAAGCAAAAACTCTTTCATCGGATCACTGAAAACCAAGGACGGCTGGCTACCACAATTTCCCCGCTTGCGAATGCACAGTCTCCTTAATTAGCCTTTTTTATCGTTCCCGATCTCAGGGTTTACAAGATGTCGATTAATTACCAGCTCGCCTGCACTCTTATCACTGCTTACAGGTTTTTTGTGTGGCTGAAGGCCCTGTCGCTTGGTATCGGTGTGATCGGGAGGTTAACATGGTATTAAAACAGCCAGCGTAGACAGACTGGGGAAGAGGAGAGCTTACGGGTCACCGCAATTTTGCATTTTTCCATACGTCAACGTCGCTTTTCTCCTCTCTCTTAAAGAATTATTCGTAAATACCAATTTCTCGACTTCTCACGATGTGCGTCCTTCACGAACTTCTTAGCTAAGTTAGCTTTGCCTTAAGTTCTTCACGAATCTGGCCTCAATACTTCAAGAACTACCAGGTAACTTCATTGCAAACGCTTGTGCAAGTACTTAACCTCCAATCAATGGCAAGAAACACAAACAAATATGTCATAAGAACAACCGTCCAAGTGCACAAAGATTTTAACAAATCAACAAATTTAGCTTAGTAATACCTCCAGAAACACTAGATACATTTCTTCTAGACGGAGAGCAGTGCATGATCAAAAAAGAAAGTTTCAAGATAACACTTTAAACAAGTGGAAAAATTGGCAAAAATAGCTGCAAAAGAGCAATTTGGGAAGTGCAGTCTTGTCGGGCAGAAACGCAATGATCGAATTGCTTCCTGTGTGGACGTAACCGCTAGCCGAGAAGCAACTGACGGGTCAAATGAAGGTGGGGAAGACTTACTACATCCAGTCCGAATGTGACGTAGGTATATCAATAGCGCCATTTCTCCTTACGACAAGGATGCGTTCACGCGCGTAAAAGAAGAAACTTCCTTTCCCTTTTCTGTAGGGGACGTGTGGCGAAACGGCTTGCCGTTTCTGATTGGGTAAGCCAAAGATGAGTGAGCTTAGTTCATTCCCACAATCAGCAGACAGAGATTAAAAATCGTATCGTTATGGTGATTTAATTATGGAACAACCGGATGCTAAGAGTAGTAACCCCCATAATCATCTTCTACTATTCTAACTACAACGATGTGCATTTAATCCCTATTTCCATGTTTCGCATTCTGGTCGCCAAGCCGCGCCAAATCTCTCTGCCGTCACCTGCTATGAGTTGGGAATAAGACAGCAGTTCCTCTCGCAACAGAGAAAAGTACGAGCACCGTCATTGCATGCTGGGTTCGCTTTATTTTTAGTTTATTATTAATATGAACAGAAATACTGATCGGGCGGTTTCCAAATATTCGCATTGAAACTGCTATGTGGTGGTGTAATGTCGCGCGAGTAAATAAAAACATATGATCTCTTATATCACTTTTTGTCAGGTTTTCCTCTTCGTGATAGATTTTTCGAGATTCATTAGCTGTAACATTTTTATTTTTATTTTCTTATAATCCAGCAAATGATGTTCTACTATCACCAATGTCGAATAAGTACTTGTCCATAGCCATTGACGTCAAGGGCGAGCGCGTAGTAGTGGGCACAGGCAGTTAGAAATTAGTACGAAAACTTCCTTCCTCGTGTTCGCGTGGACATGATGGTTGAGGACTGCCACTAAAAAAGAAGAAAAAAGAGGCAGTCCAAGTAAAACTTTCAACGAAGCCGGTCGCATTGTTCGTTTCCCTCTTCGAGTGTACTCTGTGCGCAGCACAGGCATTTTGACCGCCGGTCGATGCCATTCCAACACTCGTTTTTAATCTTTCAAATTTCCTAAGAAATCACAGGCATATGGTATTGAAAGCAGGCCATTGGTTGTAAAGCAAGCCCGCTCTTGACGTCCTATGCAGTCAATAAGATGAATAAGCAGAAACAAAAGAGCCACTACCGACGAAATTTGGGATTAAATATAGATGTTACGCATAATTGTTTTTAACTAGAGTAAGTCTTCGAAAGGAGATTAGACGAAAATAATCATTCAAAAGAGAGTTAGGTTGTGAATATTTGTAATCTAAAACTTGAGAAGGGGCATATACAGAAGGAGATTAACACATGAAGATCCAGTGTGCACTTGGTATGTGTTACCAGGTCTTAATTTTTGATAATTAATTGACAAAATTAACATTATGAACTAAGAAACAAAACAGTTTTCAAATTCAAACAGTGAATTCTGGGTGTTATAAATATCAGCAAAAGTCACTTTCATCACCCAACGAGTTGTATTAAAAAAATAAGAAACGCGTTTGGTGGGATTTCGTACGGTTTAACCCCCCCCCCCCCCCCCCCCCCCCCCCCTCCGCTCTCAAATTATGTATGCTGGAATGACTGTAGACCAGCCGATACTTCAGCTTGGGTGAGTTGGTGAATCATGCTAATACTTCGCAGCGCAAAAAAAAAAAAAAAAAACACTATAAAGCAATGTGCTCAAGAAGAAATATCTCAGGCAGCGCTGCGTGAGAGTTATTTCTTTGTGTGCAAGTATTTTTATGTCGTGTTGTTTTCTCTGCGCTGTGAAGTAATAGCATCTAGACCCGTGTTCTGCACTGTCGTAGCTCCTAATTCTTTCGGCGCAGCATTTATTTCAAATAGATTTCTAAGTTAATCACCGAAAAACAAAAAAAAACACCTGTCTTCGGACAATACGCGTAGCGTTTGAGTCTTTGCGTGCGAAGAGGAATGCTTACGAAACCGATCAGGAATAGGCGATTGCTTGAGAGTTCTTGCTGTTTACTTACTTGGATTTATTTGGCCATCGCTGTACATGAAGACAGCGCATGCGTTTTCAGCTAAGAATATCAGATGCATATCCGCCATTTCTGTTAATAAAAGAAGCATCGATAGTTACAAATATAATTTCTTTCAATATGCTTTATAAGAGTCTCACCAGTACTTGTTGCAGCGTCCCAGACAAACATACTTTCATACCCTTCGGTCCTATTTTTTTTCTCTAGGAGAAATAATTGCATGTTCCTAGAAAGAAACAATGTTTACGGTATCGCATTATCGGTTAAATATAACTCTTTGAAATTCGTTTATTCGTATACACCAAACCTGAGAGACCTTTTTTACGACAATATATATAGGCTCGTAAATCTGCAGTCGATCCAATCCTTATGTAGGCCATTGCAGCGCCAGAAAAAAATATGTTACACACAATAAGAGACAAACGTTTCGAAGTACAAAGTACAGATTTGTTTATTTTGTTATATTAATGAATCCGATTTCGCGAAAAATTTAAACGCCCCCGCATTCAACATTTTTTTATGTTGAATGCGGGGGCGGGATATATATATATATATATATAAACAAGGACACCTCACACTATCCTACGTGGTCTCCGAGGAGGAAACGCACATACGCAGATGAATAAACCGTACTTGATCCAATGAATCAAAGAATCAAAATTTTCAGGAACCCGCCGAAAGCCAAAATAACGGCGGCGCCAGGAATTGAACTCTGGACCTCCCAATGTCCGGTAGGGTGTGCTACACACTACACCACTCCACCTTGACTTTCCGGCGATTCCTACCTGTCTTAATAATGCACAAGAAACGAAAGGTATAACTTTCATTTGTATCCATTGTATCCATTTCCATTGTATCCGAATGTATCCATTTGAATTCTCGGAGGCCCAGAGTTCAAGTGGATATATCGAGAGAGCAACGTATTGCAAACGCGCTGACGGCAGTTCCTGCACCACAGGTGACGTCACTGCTGTGACGCCAAGCGAGGGCGAAGATGTCGACGTCATTGACGCTCTTGTTTTGGTCAGTTTCGGTTTGAAAGAACCTGCGGAAATAGAGTAACTTAGCCACAAACGCGCGCAGAAATTGTTTGTGTCTTTACTTCGCTGTGGGGTTGGAGCATATTAAGGCTGGGCTTCAATTTCGTAAATGCAATAGGCCCTCTAAAAACAATAATTAAAATGTTAATTAAGAGATCTCCGTTAATTAGTCGCCTAGTTGCACAAAATACTTGGTTCCTAGTGGGCGCCAGGTCGGGTATGCTAATGGCATAGCAAAATGTGCCGTAACGGAGCTCTTGTTTTCGGAAAATTTGGTTCTGACATATATATATATTTGGCGGGCACTGGCTATGACAATATATTGGTTACTTCTAATACAATTTATTAAATTACAACACACGCGAGTGCTTTATTACTACTTTTTTTAGATAATCGCATAAATATCATAACGAAAAGGTTGTCGACGTGCGCATAGCTAACGTAGAAAACTCGAGAAAATTCAAGCCCCGAATAAAATTGGCGAGATTCCATCGGAAAATCAAATAAATGTGTGTGTTGTATATACTAATAATATAAACACGGTCCAGAACTTGGTCTTTTTCATGTCAAAGAAAACATTATTCGTCATTTTTTATTGGTTAAAGGGGCCCTACAAGGACTTTTTACCGGTTTTAATCTTCACCGAACCTGAGCGCACTGAACGTAGCGACTTAAGGAAACTTTTCTTTTCTCGAATTTTGCTTTGTATTAAAAGTTATAGGCAAATTAAATTCACAAAAACCAGCAAAAAACAACCTCCTTCATGACGTCCTTGGTCGCTTGAGTGACCGTGAACTAGAGGAGGGGTAGTAAGCTGAGGGAGCGCTCTCGGCTGCTGCACTCCGTGCAGACGGCTCGAGAGGGCGCCACTAAAGCATGTTCTGGACAGGCTGTATGAAGCGGGCAGCCGGGACGGCTCGCATTGCATCTGCTCCGCGATTAAACACTAATTCGGCATGACACTTCGTAGGCCACAAACGACAGCAAACACAGGGTAAAGATCAGTCCAGAACGGGAGCCACTTCACCCTGCCATGCCGCTAAATCGCCCAACTGCAAGACAAACCTGCTCGCCGAAAGCATTCGGAACGCTCAGAACCGGCCGGATCCTTAAGCCCGTATACGACCGCAGCGCCGCCGCGTACATCCGGGACCTCCCTACGCTCGCTGCCCGTCAGTGCCTTATCCCACTACCGCTTTATAGTATGCGCCGCCTTTTTCACCTATTGGTGGCGGGTATGTCGACGGGTCATTTTTAGTTTCCGTACTTTATAAACTGCATTTGTTTGTTTTATGATGTAAAATACTGAACAAAAACTACTTTCATAAATAATTGAAACGGCTCGCTCCACTTACATTTCGTATTTCGACTAAAAAGAAGCTTTTAGCTGTTCTGACCAGTAGTAAGCCCAAGACCAATGACTTCACACATCGCGCGCTTTCGGCACCGCGGGTCGCCTCCGTAGGTGGAGGAGGAGGTTTCCGCGTCGACCGTTTAAAATATAACGCACTGATATTTAGTTACTCTCTCCGTGTTCGCTGGAAAACCCGAACCCCAATAAGTGTGGAAACCACAAAAAATGTAGATGCTTAAATATGATGGCAGGGCCCCTTTAACCTTATTCGTAAACTTTCACCGATCATATACCGTTCCTTTGTGTCTACCCCAGGTGTAACCTACATAAGCGAAATAGGCACGAAATGAGTTGCGCTTCCTGCGCTCTCCTATGTTCCGTTCGACATTAGGAATGACCGCAGGCCGCGGCAAGATCCGATGGAGTCAATCACGCAGTTCCAAAAGTGCGTCGTCATGGTGCTCATCGTTCTCGTGCGGTCGCTATCGCTGGAATCACGCGCAGGTAATGCTCCGCGGTCTGTGCACTTTTCTGCCTGATTGGTTAAACCGAAAATAATAAAAGTAAAAAAAAAGATCAGCGCTATAGTAGGTATTCACTGGACACTGTATTTGAGGGCGTTGTTTAGAGCGCAGGCTCAGAACGAGCTCACATTAATAGCCTGCTAAGACCGGCAACCTTGATGGTGGTAAATGGACGTTTCAAAAGGACTGCGGAAGCTCGCCGTGAGCACGCGCTCAGCAGCAGCGCACACGGATATGGCCGCCAGTGCATGCTCCCTACAGCAATGCATCTTCGGCACCTTTCGACGGGGTTAACTGGATTGTAGCATTGGTTACGGTCGAACCTAAAAAGGGTTTTAGGGAACCGTTTTTGCAGACCCGATACGGTACAGTGGGCCCTTCGGCACGAACTGCGTATGTGCTACCGCATAAAAATCGCGCATGCGAGTCTCATGCTTAATTCGTCCCGGAGGGCCCATCGCACCACATCGGATGTGCGAAAACGGTTCCCTAAAACTCTCTAATGTGAAACGGAGCATAGTTTTTGCTTACCGGTGCTTGTTTTGATATCTTCAGATATCGGCTTTAATTGGATAACCGAGCTAAATAAGAAGATTCCTGCACTGATTTCTGTTTTTGATATACAATTACTTGAACTGATACGTGCTGCGTGGCTAGCGGCCGTAAGGACGCTCTTGTCGCGTTCGTGAATGCGTGACACAGTTTCGATTCTGCGCCGCCGTTGGCTCTTTACTCTGCCAAGCACGACCAGTGGAGAATTTTACCCGGTGCTCAATGAACAGCGTTAGACGTTATGCGCTAGATAATATCAGTCATAAAAGTCGCCCTTAAATGAGGCCTGACAGCGTGTGTGTGTGTAGGGAGGGATGGGGGGGGGTTACTCTTCGGGTAGCAGCGGACGGGACATAGCTGGTCGAATATGGGCAGTATCAGTAATCAGGTTTTGAATAAAAAAGACACGACCTGTCCCAAAAAGATTTTTGTATGAGAGATTTTTTTTTGTAAATAAGTGACGGGGAACCCATGCAAAAATATCAACCCAACCCCCCCCCCCCCCCCCCTCAAAGAGAAAGGTCGGTTTATAGGTTTCCTTTGCATAACTTTCCGTAGAACTACGGCCACAGCTGCAGGGACGCCCAGGCGCTACAGCCGACGATGTCGGGTGCGCATTACGTGAATGCCCGTGGCTCGGTGTCCGGTAGAGGCAAATGTGCACCACCCGCGCCGTCGTCTCCGAGGCGCAAATGCTGACTTCCCTGCGATTGTAACGCTTCGGCCAGTCGGGGGAGAGATTCGCGTGAACTGCCCGTGCCGCGAGTTCGGCCGCTTGGCCGCTGTCCAGAGAATTGAGCGAAGATTGCCGAATCACGGCTGCCGGAGCAGCATCCATTGCCGTTTCAAGCAGCCAGGAGCGCGTGGCGTTAACGCGAGTAAACGAGCAAGCCATCAGATTAAAAAAAAAGGCGCGTGCGCACTGCGCGATTCTCGGCAGTAGGTGGCGCGCTGTCAGGGAGTACTTCGGTGTTATCTGTGTGACGTCACTTCCGTGACAAAGTTTTCGTGACATCGACCTCTTTACTTTGCAGCCCGTTCCAAGTGCAGAAGAAAACGCACGGAAAAAATATAGTACATAAAAAAGTGACAAGGCAGTGACCTCAGTACTGTGACGTAATCAGTGCCATTTGAACTTAACACATGACGTGGCGTATTTGTTGCGTTACGCGTCATATTGCATCACCTGGTCCACTTGAGGCGATGCGACATGAGCCTTCAAGACTTCGTAGAAACGAGATCGGAGCGAAGTTAACGGCACCTTTGCGCATTTCATTCTGAGATGCAATGCAAAGGCGGTATTTTTTTAATATTTTAAATAAAATATTTATGTTCAATGATAAGTGCACATTCTTTATTTTACTGAAAGTAATTGCATTGGTAATGTAATTGCGCTTTAGTCTGAGGAATCGCAACGTCTAAATTAACCTTATAGTATTTTCCTAAATGTTTTGTCAAACTGCAGCTTCGTGCTTTAGTGCCACTGGGAGAGGAAAATAGAATCAACTTCTGGGGGCCTTATTTTGTTTCTGGCATATCGGGGAAGAAGTATTTATGAGCACCAACACTGCGTCAAAGCACCGACTACGGACACAGCTGAGCAACTATGAAACTCACAGTCCCACGGGAAGTCACGGAAGGTGCCTTGGGGGTTTACAAGTTACCCTTTTCGGTTTTCACCCCAGCCGTCGTCTGTGACTTTCGCGGGAAAAAAGCTCCAACAAGAAATTGCAATTATGGAGATGTTAATGT